TAGAACTACCATATGATCCAATAATTCCACTACTGGATATTTACCCAAAGAATACAAAACACTAATTTGAAAAGATATATGCACCCCTATGTTTACTGTAGCATTATTTACAATAGTGAAATTATGGAAGGAGCTCAAGTGTCCATTGATAGATGAATGGATAATGGATAAAGGTGGCATATATATTCAATGGAATATTATTCAGCCATAAAAAAGAACAAAATCTTGCCATTTGCAATAACATGGATGGATCCAGAGAATACAATGCTAAGTGAAATAAATCTGTCAGAGAAAGACAAATACCAATGATTTCACTCACATATGGAATTTAAGAAACAAAACAAATGAATAAAGCAAAAAAGAGACAAACCAAGAAGGAAACTCTTATAATCAACATAAAGCTAACCAATACAAACAGTAAAGTGGCAATTGATATTTTCTAAAAATATTAAGTTAAAATCTAGTTTTTAAAAAATCAGTTATTTATAAACCTTTCTATAAAAAGTAAACATTCTGTTTAAAAAAACAAAGACAATTACTCATTATCGTATTCAAATTATAAGTGTTAATTAAGGAATTTAAGATCATCGACACCAAGATAAAATGCCTAATGAGAAAAAGAATATGAGATAAGAAAAGTAGCAAGGATTAGAAGAGGAAGACTGAAACTGAATATTCAACTTTGGGAAGAATATGAAATGAATTCCATTAGAAAGAAATTAACACAGATTTCTGGATGAAGAGAGTTCATTAAAATAAAGACAAAGGTAAAACCTCTAGAAAACAAAGAGAATGTGGGGCAGGCAGGGGCAGACATCAATGGCAAAAGGATTTCAATAAATTTCTTGAGTCAGTAGATCAAGAACAAACAATGACTGATAAATCAGCATAAGAAGCTGTAACCTACTATTTGCACTGAAGAGAAGAAAGCCAACGAAGAAAACAAACTAGGCTACATTACCCTGAACTCCAGGTATAACAAGTGTGAGATGTGGGGCTGAAAATTCTAAAATCAAAATGTTCACAATCAGCTTTGCTCTTGCCTTATTCTTAGATATGAATACACAACCAAAACAGTTGAGAAAGAGAAAGAGAAAAAAATAAGAGAAAAAAGGCCCTAAAGAAAACATTAATATTTTAGGAAACAAAAGATGATGTTTAAAAAAACTAATTTGTATTTTAAGAGAGATATAATGATGTTATATCTATTGAAGGAGAAATAAGCTGTTATAAAAAAGAAACAATCAATAAACAATTAAAGTTACTGAATACCGAAAATATGATTGCTAAGAAAGTAGGGCATTTAAAAAGGAAATCTCACATAATGTACAACAAAATGACATAAGGGTAGAAAATAATGTGAAAAAAGACAAGAGACATGAAGATTCAATCTAGGATGTCTAACATCTGATCAGTGAGAGTAACAGAAAAAGAGAATAGAGAGAATCAGGAGAGCAAATTATCAAATAAAGGAAGAGGATGTCACAGAGCCATCCTCAAACTGCAATCATATGGGCTCTGCTATGTTTTGTGTCAGATTTGATATCAGGTTTTCTTCCATCCAAAAACAAAAAGCCATAGCAGTTCTAGGTCTTACATCCACACATCCTTCTGTACTAGAGAAAGTGTTTATCTTTTGCCAACCATCTCTCATCCTAGGCTGCATTCTATTTGGTACACATAGGTTAACAAAACCATCCCTGATCCAATTGCCATAGTCAGGAGAATGCCATGTTGTGACTGGCTTTCACCTGGATTAATACCATCCCTGAACGGTCATTATGGGAAAGAGGACAGGGACATGCTGCCACTCAACAGGAAGCTTCAGAACGGATGCTAGAGAAGCAACCTTCAATATCGAATGCATTGTTGTGACATTTCAGTACACCAACCATAAAGACACAATCATAAAGGTTAACAGGGAGGAAAAACGACTTAGCTTAAAAGAACAAAAATCACATCAGCCTCAAATTTCTCATCAGCAAAATGCTACCAGACCATGGAGCAATACCTTCAATAGTTTGAGGAAAAATTACTTTTCAATCTAAAATTTTAAGTTCAACCAATGTATCCATGAAATGTGGGGGCAGAAAAGGAACATTGCCAAAATGTAAGGATTTCAAAGTACCTCCTCTATGGAAGTTTCTTAAAGATGGACTCTACTTGAAAAGAGGGAATAACCAAGAAAGAGGAAGATATCAGGAACAGTAAGAAGTGCCTCCAAACCACTGGAGAAAGAATGAATATGTTAATCCTTAAATATATTCTCCATAGGGATATGGTGTTTACATGTACCCTTCAGTAATGATTACATTTCTTCCATGACTTAAAAAGAAAACACAAAGAATTTGAAAATTACTGTATTTCCAGGAAAGAATCCAAGTTATCTATATGCCAAATTAATACAGATGAAAACCATGGAGACATTTTAATATTAAATAAATTCTAAAGAATTAAAAAAAGGCTAGCTACATGAAAACCAGGTTATCTTGTAACCTTGAGATACACATATGTATCTACTTGTCATAATCACGTGGTAATCTATGAGCTATAAAGGCTTATTACATTTCTATTAGTTTTCAAAACTTCTACAAAATAGTTAAGAAACTTAACTCTGTAAATCATTGCGACTTCTTTTCAGCAATTAGTCATTAACATACTTTGCAAAAAGAAACCTCTCCTACTCAAAAATTAGCTCTACTATTCTGGGGAAAAAAGAGATACAAAACCAAAAGATTGACGTACATATAAAAGTCACAAAACTGCAACCTGTTATAAATAAATGTTTATAATGAAAATGAATCTAAATGCTTCCAAAGCTCATTAATATTCAAAGGATTAAAAAATTGCAATTCCATCTTTTTCTTAGAATGAGTAAACACTAACTTGAAGAATTATAGCTCTTCTAGATTCATTTTTTTCCATAATTACTCAATTATTTGTTAGAATATGTAAAACCTCTATTGGAATCCTTACACCAGTGTTTCATAAATGGATTTAACTATAAAACCTCGTTATACAATATCTTCCATAAAAGCAATATATTTCCAATATTTATGTCCTTAAAATATCCTACGGTAAAATTAATATTTCTATACAGAAAAAGAAGGAACTATTTAGTCCCCGACAACTTGATAACATCTCTTTCAACTATAGTTATAATTATCATGTACGAACTTCCAAAGCAGTTGTCAAGATTTAACATTAGCATTAATTTATGTCATAACTGACGGTTACTATAAAGATAATGGCAAAGCATCCATTTCTCCAAAGACAGCATGGATCGAAAGGGAAATTTCTTCTTAATTACTACTAATCTGCCCATTTTTAATTAAATTGATTAGTAATTTATTATCCTTCCCTTTCTTGCAAAGCTGTTATTATCACATAGTTTCTCCAAAGTTATCAGTTATCAGTGATTTTTAAGCAATCCAATTACTTCTCATGTGAGTCCCACCATTTTGCAATATCGGTTTATGCTAAAAACTTATTACCCAATTTCTTTGTACCCTGAAAAAGAAACTTAAAAAACGCAGACTTTGCACTCATTATTTCACACCTTAAAGTGAACAGTGTCAAGATTTTATTTATATAGAGAAGACCATTTAAGGTGGAACTTTTATGCCTTTCTCCCTTGTTTGAAAATCAAAATAGTTATTAGTATGTATCCTCCCACAGGAAAGAAAGGAAGTCCCTTTCCTTTGAAATTTCCTTTGAAAAATATCTACTTCTTATGCTATCCATAACTAAATTATGGCATTATTCTAAAAATTTTCCCTATCAGTTTCTTTTTTAAAGGGTAAATAAAAATGAAAATGTTCTGACATACAAAATGAGAAATATTTCAATCAAGCAAACTTCGAAAGAATTTAAATGCTTCATATATTTTTCCTAATCAAATCCTTAATTGGTATTAAGCTTTGATCAGCATCAAATTTAAAGTATAACACTGAAGTAACTACTTGAGACCAGCAAATTTTCATGACATTAGTTCATAATGTAACTTCTGAAAAGCTGAGCTTCTCTGAAGAATGAGAAAATGAAATGCAATGTCCCTTGGTAGAAAGGACAGAAATTTTCCTTTCTTTTGTGAAAAAATGCTAAGACAAGCAGGAAATATCAGCTTAAAGTCTCTATTTCATTAGATACGCCTTGTATGAATTGACTAGAGCTGACTGAAAAAAATTCATATTAAGAAGAATACAGAATGTATTCAAACAGTTAACTATCAATGAAAATGAAAAGATAATGGCTTAGTATAAAATAATCTCCATGAATTAACATGTACTGAATATAGTATCTATTAGATATATGAGTCCCATACTTTCTCTCCTAAATTTTCTGTTTAGAAAAATTAACAATGAATGCACAATGGCTGCTAAACTCTTATGTACCAGGACTTAAGTATTTAATTCATACCTCTCTTACTAGATTTAAGCAAGGCTCAGTCTCTCACTTTCATTAGGTCTATTTAAATTTCACCATACCAGAAAGGTCTTGCTTGACCACCCCTTGTCATCACTCCTTATCACCTTGACTGTTTCATTCTTCTCCATAATACTCTTTACCACCAAGCATATGATTTGCTTGTCTGTCTACTGTCTGTTTGCTTCCACTGGAAAGTAAGCTCCAGCAGAACAAGGCTTTGTCTGATCTGTTCATTGCCTAGAACTATATACCATGCACATAGTAGGCATTCAATAAGTATTTGCTTAAAAAAAGATTAAAATTTCATCAGCTACAAAATCCTAAGGAAAACTTAAATATCATCTGACAGTCCTGAATGCCAAACAATACCAAAAGTTTTGTTTTTAAATAGTACTTAATATAAAGACATAGTAAGTTTTCTTTTCATCCAAAAAGACAAAATATCTTTTCAAAGAATAGTTGGAACACTAACAGTTGCTAATTATTTATTACTAAATAATTCAGTTAATGGGATTAACAGTTGTTAATTATTACTAAATAATTCAGTTGATGTAATTGGTCACTAGGCATACCTTAACAAGTTTCAAAAGCTCATAGAGATCTTCAACCTCATCACCTTCACATTTGGTGTACACTCGTCCTGTATCCACACTCCTTCCTCTTATGGTGCGGCGGTAGAGGGGAAGAGCCATCGCTTCTGCATACAAATCAATGGCGTGATGACCCACTGTCTGATACATGTAGCTATCCAGTTCATCTGACCCCACTGCAACAATGAAAGTGGAAATAATCAGTAAAACAGAGTGAAAAAGAAAGGAGATTAGAAAGTTCATCTGAGTTTTACTGCTTGGAGACTTACTACACTATATCTCTCTGCATTTATGAAGTGAAATAAAGTGGAAGAGTTGCACATTTGTCCATAGCTGCATCCAGTTCACATCAGCTCTAGTCATCTCTACTGCTAATTACAAATACATATAAATTTTTAAAACTATATACAATAAATGTTTAAAGAGAATAATATAGCCAATAAATTTTAATTAGTTTACTCAATTAAAGATTTTATTACATAAATGTTTCTCAAATCATTCAAGGTTATTTACAAAGACATCTAGAGTTGTAGGAAAAAAACCTTTTTTAACTAAATAGCTACTTGGTTAACAAGTGACAAATATTTGTAAAAATAAATCACATGCTCTTGATATATTTTATATTCAGTATTTCAAACAAGACATATAAAAATATTTAAATTATGAGGCAGTCAAAGATGGCTGCGTAAAAAGAACACGAACTCACCTCCTTCCTCAGATATACCAAAACTACAGTTACATATGGAATAATTCCTGTTGATTCTAGCTGAACAGCCCCCTCCACAACAAGGGATAAAAGGGCCACATCAAGGTGGGTGGCAGAAGCAGAGACTCGATCTCACCCCAAACCCTAGTAGTGACCTACAATAGGGAGGGATCTCACAATACTGAAGCCTCTCTCGGGGTTTATGCCATCTGACACCCCAACCCTGTAGGACCTGCACTGGAAAGACAAGGCCCCCCCAAACATCTGGCTTTGAAAACCAATGGGGCATACACCCAGGAGGACTGGGGGATTGCAGGGATTTGAGATACTCCTTTTGAGGAGCTTGTGCAATGATTCACTCCTCCCAGGACCCAGCACAAAGTCAGCAGTTTGAGAAATGACTGGATTATACGTGAAGATTCATTTGCTAATGTAAAAGTGTCTGCTGAAGGAACAGGGACAAGTGGGGACTTTCTTTGGAGATGGAGAGCATCATTTTCCCACTCTCCATCTCTCTCTACCTTGCTAGTACTAGTGGCAAGTGCAGGTGTCTGGCCCCCAACACTTTTCTCCTACATGGGTAAAGTTATGGGCATGCCCCACCCTCAGTGCTCTTTCCTGGCCTTGGTAAATCCACGGGTGAGCCCCAGCTCCAGTGTTCTTTTCCTGCATTGCCAAAGCTGTGGGCATGTCCCACCCCAGTGCTCCTCCCACATCTTGCTAAAGCCATGAGTGTGCTCTACACCCAGCACTCTTCCCCTGCATCACTAAAACCCTCAGCACTCTCCTGCAGCCTCACTAAAGCTGGCCATCAAGCACAGTCCACACGAGGGATACCCCTTGATCACCCAACCTGGTAGCAGAGGGGCTTCTGTTGCTGGGCCCCAAAGGACTATAAAAATCAGAAAGACAGTTCTGCACAGGTTACCAAACCCACAGCACTGCACAGACAGCAATCAAGTCTGCCTGTGAAAAAGGCCCATCTACTTGTCCTGGAGTTTCAACCTGTGGAACAGGCTTCATGTTAGTCACATATCTAGAGATTAAAGAGGTGCTCTCAGGGACCAAAGGCAGGGAAATACCTTCTTTGGGCCTTCCCCTGGCCTTGTCATAGCTCACTGGTACCTCCCAGAAAGAAGTGTATACACTTGTCCAAAGCCCTGCTTTTTGTAACTGTTGACCAGGGGACACCTCCAGATCTCATGGTCTGGCAGCAGAGTTTACACTTGTAGTCCCACAGAAATGTATCTATTTGCATTCTTTAAAAGCTGCTGCCTGAGAATCTGTTTCCAGTCAGCCTGAAACGAGGTCTTGACTGAGATCACTCTGTTTGGAACACTGACAGGTCTTGGCACACCTTCAACAATGGGGACCTATCAAGAATAAATCAGTCTACTTAAACAATCACAAAAGTTCATGAGACAACCAAGAGCTAGGGCAAAGCAGAACAACAAGGTTCATCTCCTACAGAAGGCCAGCTTTAGCAAGGCTGCAGGAGAGTGCCGAGGGTTTTAGTGATGCAGGGGAAGAGTGCTGGGTGCAGAGCACACTCATGGCTTTCGCAAGATGTGGGCGGAACACTGGGGTAGGACATGCCCACAGCTTTGGCGATGCAGGAAAAGAGCACTGGAGCTGGGGCTCATCCGTGGATTTACCAAGGCCAGGAAAGAGCACTGAGGGTGGGGCATGCCATTAACTTTACCCATTCCTTACCAATTCCTTAAAGATTTGAAGAGGTAGCTGTTTCATCTAATACACAGAAACAAACACAGAGAGTAAAGCAAAATGAGAAAATAGAGGAATATGTTCCAAATTAAAGAACAAGAAAAAAACATCAGAAAAACATCCTAATGAAGTGGAGTTAATTCACGTGATTAAGAGTTCAAAGCAGTATGCATAAAGATGTTCACTGAACTCAAGAGAAGAATGGATGAGGGGCGCCTGGGTGGCTCAGTTGGTTAAGCGACTGCCTTCGGCTCGGGTCATGATCCTGGAGTCCCGGGATCGAGTCCCGCATCGGGCTCCCTGCTCGGCGGGGAGTCTGCTTCTCCCTCTGACCCTCCTCCCTCTCATGCTCTCTGTATCTCATTCTCTCTGTCTCAAATAAATAAATAAAATCTTTAAAAAAAAAAAAAAAAGAGAAGAATGGATGAGCACAGTGAAACTTCAACAATGAGGCAGAAAATATAAGAAAGTACCAAACAGAAGTCACAGAGCTGAAGAATACAATAACTGAATTGAAAAATACATTACAGGGGTTTAATAGCAGACCAGACAAAGTAGAAAAAGAGATCAGTGAGCTTCAAGACAAAACAATGGAACTCACCCAAAAAGAGCAGTAAAAAGAAAAAAAAAATTAAGTGAAGATAGTGACTTACGACACAACATTAAGGGTAGTAACATTCACATTACTGAGGTGCTAGAAGGAGAAGAGAGAAAGAAGCAGAAAGCTTATTGAAGAAATAATGGCTGAAAACTTCCCTAACCTGAGGAAACAGACATCCAAGTCCAGAAAGCAAAGAGAGTTCCAAATAAGATGAACCCCAAAAAATCCATACCAAGATACATTATAATTAAAATATCAAAAGGTAAAGATAGAGAATATTAAAAGCAGCAAGAAAAAAAGCTACTAGTTACATACAAGGGAACCCCCGCCCCCCCATAAGACTATCAGCTGATTTTTCAGCAGAAAATTTGCAGGCCAGAAGAGGGTTTATAATCTACTCAAAGTGCTGAAAGGGAAACAAAACAAAACAAAACTTCCAACCAAGAATAATCTACCTAGCAAAATTATCATTCAGAATTGAAGGAGAGATAACGAGTTTTCCAGACAAGAAAGACTAAAGGAGTTTACCACCACTAAACTGGCCTTATAGGAAATTTTAAAGGGACTTCTTCAGGGTATAAAGAAAGGGCACTATCTAATAACTAGAACACATATATAAGTAAAAATCTAATGGGTTAAGGCAAATAAATAGTAAAGGTAGTAAATTAACCACTTATAAAATCAGCTTAAAGGCTAAAGAGCAAAAATAGAAAAATTAACTATAATTGCAATAGTCAGTTAAGGGATATACAAAATTAAAAGATGTACAATGTAATATTAAAAACATAAAATGTGGGGGAGGGATTGTAGCTTTTAGAATGCATTCAAATTAAAGTTGCTATCAACTTAAAACAGACTGCTATATATAGACTGTTATGTATATATGAAACTCAACCAAAAACAACCAAAAACCAAAAACCAAAAACCTATAGTAGATACACAAAAAATAATAAGAAAGGAATCTAAACATAATGCTAAAAAAAGGCATTAAACCAAAAGGGAAGACGGCAAGAAAAGAAGAAATTAACAGAGAGAAACAACAAAAAGACAGGAAACTTAACAAAATGACAATATGTTATATACCTATCAATAATTACTTTAAATATAAATGGACCACATTTTCCAATCAAAAGACACAGTGTGACTGAATGGATTAAAAAAAAAAAAAGGAAATCACAAGACTCATCTCTTTTGCCTAAAAGAGACTATTTTTTTTTTTAAAGATATTATTTATTTGACAAAGAGAGACACAGTGAGAGAGGGAACACAAGCAGGAGGAGTGGGAGAGGGAGAAGCAGGCTTCCCATGGAGCAGGGAGCCCGATGCAGGGCTCGATCCCAGGACCCTGGAATCATGACCTGAGCCAAAGGCAGACGCTTAATGACTGAGCCACCCAGGCGCCCCAAGAGACTAACTTTAGATCTAAGGACACACACACAATGAAAATCAAGGGATGGAAAAGATATTCCATGCAAATGGAAACAAAAAGAAAAGTGGTATTGCTATACTTGTATCTGACAAAATAGACTTTAAAACAAAGACAGTAACAAAAGACAAAGAGCATCATACAATGAGAAAAGGGTCAATCCAAAAAGATGATATAAAATTTGTTAAGTATTTGTGTGCCAACAGAGAAGCACCTAATTATATAAATATTACCAGATCAAATATTGCCAGATCAAAAGGAGAAATTAACAGCAATACAATAATAGTAGAGAACTTTAATACCCCTACTTATATCAATAAATAGATCATCCAGAGAGAAAAATCAACAAGGAAACATCGGTCTTAAATGACACATAAGACCAGATGGACTTGATATTTTATACAGAACATCCCATCCAAAAGCAGCAGAATACACACATTCTTCTCAAGTGCACACAGAACATTCTCCAGGATAGATCTCATATTAGGCCACAAAAAATACAATAAATTTAAGAAGTCTGAAATAATATCAGGCATATTCTCTGACCACAACAGTATGAAAACTAGAAATCAATTACAAGAAGAAAACTGGAAAAATCACAAGTATGTGGAGATTAAACAACATGCTACTGAACTGATAGGTCAATAAAGAAATCAAAGGGGAAGTCAAAAAATACCTTGAGACAAATGAAAATGGAAATGCAACAATCTGATTTCTA